TTGCATCATTTTCATTAGTAGGCTTAGCAGAGCAGTTCAAAATATCTTTACAGTTGTTCTCAATCACATTTACTATACTCATATTGAAGTTTGGTGTACAACGTGTGGGAAAGAGACAAAAAARTGTACTCATTTGAAAAGAGTACAGCTTTTACTGTCAGTCTTTCTAAGTGAGTACAGTAAAATGTTGTACAGAATTTTTTGTGACAGTTGAATATACTGTACAGCAAGGAATGAGTACAGTATTTTTGAGAACATTTTACTACTGTACAGTACTATGGTTTTAGAAATGAATACRTTCATGCAGACCTCTATTGTATACATTGTACACTGCTTGTTCGATGACATGGTGATGTACTTGATGAGAATTTTTCGAGTTGGACAGATTTATATTAAGGTACTTATTTTCATAGATTTTGGTAGAGATATAACCAAAACAGTATAATATTTCGAATATTGTAATTCCAGTCTTTTACGTTTTTCTACACTACCGACTGCTGTCGCGTATAGATGGGAATTCGAAATGCTTTCAGTTGCTCATCGGTTATGAAAGTTGCTAATACAATATTAACATCTGGGCGCAAGCTGAAACCATACAACTGACAGAGAGGCGAAGACAGATAAGAGAGCGGGAAGGAGAGAGAGAGGGAGAGAGAGAGAGGGACTGAGCGCTGTGCCTTGCATTACAATGGCCTCACAGTCGTTGGCTTTGGAGCTAAGCTAAGTCTCGTTTGCGGTGCTTACACGAGGTGAGTCGCTTAACTTAGTCATAATTACGTATGCGAATCCATTTCTCAGCCAATTTAATTCGCAATTTATGGGCGTAATATTGCGAATAGATTTTATTGCGCCCTCGATGGGCCTAATCAACTTATCGTTTGATTGACGAGTGGCGATAGAAAAAGTGGGAAGTGAAGTGAGGGTGGGGGGGGAGGTGTGACTGCGCCTAGGTAACAAATGTCATTGCAATTATGATCACAGATCAATAGAAATGTGTGCTAACGGGGTATATTAGTGGTATGTAAAAACTATTACAACGGAACAAAATGTAACGCCAATATTGTTTAAAAAGTGTAAGAAAAACTAAATTTTCAAATATAGCAAATTTTTGAAGGTCATATGATGAAAATACCATTAATATCTATTGAGTAATACAGAAGTTACTAAACAACTCGTTGGGCCAATCAGCAAAGGTACATTCCAGCGTATTCTATGAGTCAGCCGGCACCTTAGCTTAGATTTGAGAGCGAATCAGCTTCAGATTTGCAAATAATAGTTTAAGCAGCGAAATGGAGCTGCTTGTAGTGGGTTCGATACCCACCGATGTTGAGCGTGTTGTTTTTTATTATCTCATTATCTTTTTGATTGCGAAGGTGCGAGTTCGAATGACGCGAAACATGTTTAATTATTTCGAACATTTTTATGACTAGAGTTTTTACTACTTTAATAAACACGTAAATATGTACGTAAATTTCAACCCACAGATTATTCGGGGTTCGAGGTATCCCCTAGACGGGCACCCCGATAAGAGTTTTTTCCCTTATAATTAATGTATCTTTTAGTTTTTCTTGTTGCTGTTTTACTTTGCTATTTTGAGAATTTTGCTATACATAGACATATTTGTCTAGGTCGAGTATTGACTATCGCTATTCTTATGGAGAAGGGAAAATGCCAGGAAAAACCTTATGACGCTAATAGCCAATATTTGATCAATTGGTGCTATTCACGAGATGTTGATTAAACGCTTTATAGCTGCTGATAGCAGACCAAAGGCCAGAGACAAAACAATCAAGAGAAACTGAGAGAGAGGGAGAGAGACGTAGGGGAAAAGCTCGATAATGTGACTTAATTAGTTGTGTAAATTGCTTAAGGTTGTTGTTTTTTTTTCTATTTGTTTTTATTTATTTCGGGGTTTTTTTTTTAAAGCAAGTGCCGAATTTAATTAACAGAATCAAGAAACATGGCAAATAAACAGATTAATAAACACGCTCGGCCTAGTTGAAAGCGATGCGTACAACGCGTCGTATGTGTAATCAGTGCCTATGCCGAT